AAGCACTTTTGTAGAGAGAAGACTTCGTGAAGCTATTCTATGGATAGATGATCGAAATCCTTTTATTTAGAAAGGACTTTTATGTAGGGAAGACCTTAAAAGCTTTTCTAATTTCTCGACCTTCACTTTTCATGTCATCCAATAATCAGAGAACTGTGGTGAATAATTACCAAAAATCACGTGTGAGGTAATTCCGTCTTCTGGATTTCACCTATCTACGACCAAAGGAAACTCTGTAGTAAGTTCCGAGGTAAGTTCGCTTTTTTTAAATGCATAGAGGATAAGATAGAATAAATTTGACAGCTCTAAAGCTTCTGTCATTAATGTAAACATATGAGTGTCTGTGTGTGTATTTTCGTTTTGACAGATGTTTGTTGTATGTGTGGCGTGATATTTTACCTATTCTCAGGTGATGGGTTGTGCTCAACTCTTCGTGTGGTGTAACGGAGATAATGGTTGGCCTCGAGCTTATTGAGTGCTTCACAGCTCTTTGAATTTGAATAAAGAGAAGGAGAGAGAGAGAACGAGAAATCAATTTATTCACCTTCGAAATGAGAGAAAAATATCTCCAACACTCACAGAAGCTATTTATGTATTCTCTTTAATTTTGGGCAGCTATGCGACTCCTCTCTTTTCAATGCTCTTTTAAAGAGAATAGAGTAGTTTAAAGTTAAAGAGAATTCATATGCAATTACAGCTGTGATAGTTTTTTGTTACAACTCTTTTATGGCACTAATTTTTCACATTATTGTCCTTATTCTCATAATCCTTTATATGGGACCCCATAAAGCCGTTTTGTTGATTGTTGACAAAAAAAAAAGAGCCAAATAAGAAACCTGGTCAATAAGGCCAGCTACAAAACACTATACCATGTAACAATAAAACAATTTACAACTGGAGCGAACAAACATTTGAAGTGATTCACAACTGTTTTCCACTGCAGTTTCTTCCCATTGTGTTGGCCAGGGTTCTATCGTGCGGGACACAATAGCCTCCTTTGCTGGGTCGTCACATCGACGACCATTAGTCATAAAAAACAGACACAAATTTGTTTATCGCTCACAATTATTGGGGCTAATCCAAGTGCAATCACTTCAATTAAGAATAACTCCCGTCCCCGACATGGAAGAATGTGCCAAGTAATTGGCCAGAATTCCAGCAAAGTCATATCTTCCTTATTTTATAATACTTTTTTAATATTTTTCCCGCTATCTCCTTCGTCGTCTCCTCCTCCTAATTCTCTAACACGTTGCTGTGTGTTTTGAATTAGAACACTGGTGTTACCTTTTGTTTTCCTTCCATTGGTTCAATTTCGTTTTGTGGTTAGAACGCGACCAGAACAACATGCTCGTGCAACAACAATTAAAAGCGAATATCATTCCACCGCACATGCCGCCGGAGTGGTAATAGCACAAAACAGAAATACCTGACAAATCTCTTTTTGCCAAAGAGAGAGAGAGAGAGAGAGAGAGTGAGAGAGAGTAGCTAACTTCCAAGTTGATGCGATTTAGACGACAACGTCAACGACGTTACGTTGCGGTTACGTCGTGCACATGAAACCCAAAAGTTGTGTTTTGCTTACCGCAAAACTCTCATATGCAGTTGGGGAGCAGGCATACAGACACAGTGGTTGGAACACAACCGAAGGCTTGAAGTTCGATATTTTTGGAAGGAGATTTTTCAAAATATATAGAAGAGCATTAAAGAGCCTCCAGGAAATGAAATAGTTTAAAAATGTTTTGAAATATGGCTTTCGAAAGCTTTTAATGGATGGTTGAAAAGAGGAAATGTTCAAAAGGGTCTTCAAAAGTCCTCTAATTTTGAAGAAAAAAATTACTATAGAAGTATTAAAGATCTACTCTTAAAGGATACTACAAAAGTTTTTAAATTGTTTGAGCTTTAGACATATTCAATGAAAAATAGGGTTCATAAGACCTCATTTTTATCCTTGGGAAGAGAAAAGCTTTTAAAATCTGTGATTATTCTAGAGCTATAAGCTTTTTAGGGTATCTGAGAGATATAGATATTAACAGCTCTTGTGTGAAAGCTTCACAACAGCTTTACCAACTATTCTATAGAAAGAAGAACTTTAACTGTCCTTCTATAGGAAAAAGAGCTTTAATAGTTCTTCTATTGACAGAAGAGCTTTAACATATCTTCTATTGACCGAAGAGCTTTAACATCTCTTCTATTGACAGAAGAGCTTTAACATCTCTATTGACAGAAAAGCTTCAACAGCTCTTCTATGGAAGGGAGAGCTCTAACAGTTCAACTATAGAAAGGAGAGTTTTAACAGCTCATATATGGACATGAGAGCTTTAAAAGCTCTCCTACAGAAAGACATTCACAGAAGAGTTTCAGCAGCTCTTCTATTGACGAAGAGCTTCAGGGGAAAGAAGGGCTTCCACAGCTCAACTGTGGAAAGAAGTGATTCGGCAGATCTTCTGTGAAAAGAAGAGCAGTTCTTCTATGGAAAAAACAGAGCTTTAACAAGTCTTCTATGGAAAAGCTTTTGGCAGCTCTTCTAGGGAAGGAATAGCATTAACAGCTTTTTTATGGAATCAGGAGCTTTAACATCTCATCTATAGAAAGAAGGGCTTTAATAGTTCTTCTATTGACAGAAAAGCTTCAGCAGCTCTTCTATTAACAGAAGAGTCTCAGCAGCTCTTATACATACAAAGATCCTCAGCAGCTCTTATACGGACAAAAGAGCCTCAGCAGCTCTTATAGAGAAAAAAAGCCTCAGCAGCTCTTATACAAACAGAAGAGCCTCAGGATATCTTCTGCAGAGCCTCAGCAGCTCTTATGCAGAGCCTCAGGAGCTCTCACACAGACAAAAGAACCTCATCAGCTCTTATACGGTTAAAAGGGTCTCACAGCTCTTATACAGACAGAAGATCCTCAACAGCTGTTCTACAAACAGAAGAGCCTCAACATATCTCCCACAGATCCTCAGCAGCTCTTACACAGAGCTTCAGCAACTCTTCAATTGACAGAAGCGTCTCAGCAGCTCTTATGCAGAGCCTCAGCAGTTCTCACACAGCCAAAATAGCCTCAGCAGCTCTTATACAGACAGAATAGCCTCAACAGCTCTTATACAGACAGAAGATCCTCAACAGCTGTTCTACAAACAGAAGAGCCTCAGCATAACTTCTACAAATCCTCAGCAGCTCTTACAGAGCTTCAACAACTCTTCTATTGAGAGAAGCGTCTCAGCAGCTCTTATGCAGAACCTCAGGAGCTCTCACACAGACAAAAGAGCCTCAGCAGCTCTTATACAGACAGAAAAGCCTCAGCAGCTGTTCTACATACAGAAGAGCCTCCGCATATCTTCTACAGGGCCTTAGCAGCTCTTGTACAGACAGAAGAGCCTGAGCAGCACTTCTATTGACAGAAGAGCTTCTGCTGATAGAAAAGCTTCAGCAGGTTTTATATTTATAGAAAAGCTTCAGCAGCAGCTTTTATACAGACAAAGATCCTCAGCAGCTCTTATACGGATAAAAGATCCTCAGCAGCTGTTCTACAAACAGAAGATCCTCAGCAGCTGTTTTACAAACAAAAGAGCTTCAGCATATTTTCTACAGAGCCTCAGCAGCTCTTATACAGAGCTTCAGCAACTCTTCTATTGACAGAAGCGTCTCAGCAGCTCTTATGCAGAGCCTCAGCAGCTCTTATACGGAGTGAAGAGTCTCAGCAGCTCTTATACAGACAAAAGAGCCTCAGCAGCACTTCTACAGGCAGAAGATCTCAGCAGCTGTTCTACAGACAGAAGAGCCTCCGCATATCTTCTACAGAGCCCTAGCAGCTCTTCTACAGACAGAAGAGCCTGAGAAGCACTTCTATTGACAGAAGAGCTTCTGCGGACAGAAAAGCTTCAGCAGCAGCTCTTATACAGACAAAGATCCTCAGCAGTTCTTCTACAAACAGAAGAGCCTCAGCATATCTTATGTAGAGCCTCAGCAGCTCTTACACGGATAAAAGAGCCTCAACAGCTCTTATACATGCAGAAGATCTCAGCAGCTGTGCTACAAACAGAAGAGTCTCAGCATATCTTCTACAGAGCCTCAACATCTCTTATACACAGCTTCAGCAACTCCTCTATTGACAGAAGCGTTTCAGCAGCTCTTATGCAGAGCCTCAGGAACTCTCACACAGACAAAAGAGCCTCAGCAGCTCTTATACAGACGGAAGAGCCTCAACAGCTCTTATACAGACAGGAGAGCCTCAGCAGGTCTTCTACAGGCAGAAGATCTCAGCAGCTGTTCTACAGACAGAAGAGCCTCAGCATATCTTCTACAGGGCCTTAGCAGCTCTTCTACAGACAGAAGAGCCTAAGCAGCACTTCTATTGACAGAAGATCTTCTGCTGACACACAAGCTTCACCAGCTCTTCTTAGTGAGCTTTAACAGCTCTTCTACGGAAAGAAGAGCTGTAACACCCAATTTTCTTCTAGACATCTACATCTGTAGAGAGAGCTTTCTTTTGTGAGAGCTTATCTAGTTTTTTCCTCCCACTGTGCCACAAATGGTTTGCGAACATTTCGCACAAGACAAAGAGTAAAATATCCTTCCACATGGAGTATTTGTGTGTGTGCGTGTGAGTGAGTGAATGTGCCCCATTGCGGTGGCAGCAACAGCAGCGGTTACTGCGAGGTTTTGCGTTTTAACTCTCTTTCTCTCCCCATGACTCTAGCTGGATGTGTGGTGAGAAGAGCAAACCCAGCGAAACGGCTCTCCATCACAAACTGGCAAAAATCGGTTGGTTGGTTGGTTGGCTGGCTGGCTGGTGTTCCACCTATCATGCCAACCATTCAACGCCACAATACTTCACGTTTAGCTTTTTTCCCCCGTTGGCTAGCTGTTGTTGTTGTTGGTGTTGTATTGTGTTTTTGTTTGGTTGTTGCTATTGTTGATTGAATTTCGAATTTCGCTGCACCATGTTGGGCCACACGTTGCCTCAGTGCCTCAGTTACGTATCGCATTTGGTTGGGTTCACAACATCCAACTCAAGCTGAGACTCGCGAATGGGAATTTCGTTTTTAAGTTTTGGTCTGGCTGTCTGTCTGTTTGTCTTCTTTTGAGAATTGTTTCTTTTTTTTTTTTGTTTTGAAAAAAAATTTAGTTTTTCCATTTGGCCACTACTTTGACGAAGAAAAGCCACGCCGTGTGAGTGTTTCGTATCGAGAGTGAGTGAGACTGATTGACGGACTTACTACTACTTTCCGTATGTATGGGACGGATGGGTGATTGATGATTGCCCGTTGGGAGGAGAGTGTGTGTGGCGATGTTTGTATTTTTTCGCTTCCGATAAAAGTGACGGAGGCAAGAAGAAATAATAAAAAAAAAACGTAATCTCAAATAACGTTTTGGTGTAAAACGAAGATTATAAGGCCAACGAAAAAAAAAAAATAGAGCAAAGCAAAGAACAAAAAGCTGTGGAAAATCCGAGAATTTTGAAATAACGAAATTTGAAAATTATAAAAATTCGGATTTGCTTCCACACCGAAAAAAGGGCCAACATTTGTATAATCGTGTGCGTGACAGTTTGTGCTTTAGTTCTTGTTTTACGTTACGTTCTAAGAGTGAAAAAGAAAATAAATCCAACAGCAACAACACCGTTCATCCATTATATAACAATCTCAACACCAGAAAAAAAGTGGGCCTGAAACTCTGTGTTTTTCTTTTTTTTTCCAATTTCCTGCTCGGGGCCTCCATAACACGCTGGCTGATGAAAATTTTACTCGGTAAGGATATGCCAAGGGATTGGTGAAAAAATAAACAAATCGAAATTCTTAAAGTCCTTGTGTGGAAACTTTTATTCCATGTTTTCTTCAAGTTTATTTGCCTAATTTTTTTTTTTTTTTTTTTTTGAAGGAAAATCCTGAACAACTCTTACCCACAGAGTGACAATGACAAAGTGTCAAAGGATGGAATATCCATGACACACGCCATACGTTCGTTTGTTCGCTGGCTTGCTTCGTTCGTTTTTATTTTTTGTTCCCTTTAATACTTTCCTGCCTATGAGCCAGAAATTAGCAACCCCCATTAGTTTGTAGTTGTTACCCCCCTCTGAAAGAAAAACAGGCAACAGCAGAGCTTTGTTGCTCTTTTTTTTTGGTTGGGAAAACTCATCACAACTAGCCGTGAGTGAGTGAGTCATGGTTGGAATCAAAACAAAATCTATGGCTCTCAAAATTGGAGAGCGGCGAGAGAGGGAGAGAGAGAGAGAGTAAGGAAAAGATTACTTGGTTTCTTTCTCTCTCGTCAGTTTTTGATTCACGTGTTTGTTGCTTAACGTAACGGAGAGCAAGAGAGAGAGAGAGTAAGGAAAATATTTCTTGGTTTCTCTCTCTCTCGTCAGTTTGTGATTCACGTGTTTGTTGCTTAACGTAACGGTGATTTTCTCCAACATGTGCTCACCTCCATCTCTTTCGCTCTCTTGATTTCATACTCAATGTATTTTAAGAGAGGAACACACTATAACATGAATCAGAGATGGATAGATGGAATTTATAAGAGCTTTAACAACAATTTATATATTTTTTAAGGAAGATAAGTAGAGATTCGTAAAAAAACACTTTAGACCAGAAACTTTAAATACAACTTCTTTCCTAGGACTATAGATGAGATTGTAAAATAAATAAATCTTTTGAAGGACTTAAGATAAAAATCGATTGTCTCAAAGGAAAATGTTTTTGAAAAAAATTAAAAAGGATATAAAGGCATGACCGCTTATAGACGAATGTTCAAGGACCATAAAATTTTTTTTGAAAGAACTATACACCTGACCAGAATGTGAGATAAAAATTAAATTTTTCAAAAAACGTGGTTTCTTAGAAAAAAATCCAAAAGGATAGCAAGGCATTGACGTTTTTTTAAAGAATTTCCGCAGATGAGGAATTTTATACAAAAATACATATTTTTTTCAAAGGACTTGCACCCTCAGATTCAGATTCAGATTCGTAAAAATATATAGATTTTTTTTTAACAGCAATAGAAATGAATTTTTAATAAAATATATTTTTCTAAGACTCTAGACGAGATTTTAAACATGAACTATTGTTGGAAGGACCGCAAGTGGGGATTTTTACTAAAATGTTTGTATTTAAAGGACTAGAATTCTTAAAAGTATATTTTTTTCCAAGAGGAGAGTGGACATGAATACCGAAAATTTATTTTCTAAAGAAGGATCAAAAACATGTATTTTAAAATCTTAAATCTCAAACTTACACTCTTAAGGACTATAGCTGTGAGTTCTTGAAAAGTAAATACAAAGAACAGGGATTTTTGGTATATCCCCCACAAAAGGTCAAAATTTTCAAGGAAAATATTTTACTGCACAGAAAGAGGAAGGATGATCCGATTTTGCAGCAACTTTGCAAGTCCTAATATTTGCATCAGTGCCAGGTCAGGTGCGAAAATGGACAATACCGGTCCACTACATCAATTACCTCCTCCACAAAGGGTAAAATTTTTGAATAATTATAACGCTTATAAAAGGTCCAAGGTCTGATGTGAAGATGGAAAATATCGGTCAACTTTTTTTGGTACGACCCCCACAACGGGTCAAAATTTTGAATATCCAAACCGCTTATAAAATGTGTAATAAGCGTCCGATTCCATTCAGACTTGGTGCATCTAAATATTTCCATCAAGACAAGATTTGTCATAAAGATCGTAGAGATCGCACAATTCCTTCAGGTACCTCCCCCCACAAAGGGTCAATGTTTTGAATATTCATGGAGCTCATAAAACACAAAATTAACATCTGATACCATTCAACACAAGATCTGTTGTGAAGATGGTATAGATCGGACCATTCATTCTGGTTCCTCCCCCAAAAGGGTCAAAATTTTGAATAAATTTAACTCTTATAAAATATAAAATAAGAGTCTGGTTGACTTTAAATATCACGCATAACAATATTTTTTAAGCTAAGGTCTGGTGTAAATATGGAATACTTCTGGTATATCCCCAACAACGGGTTAAAATTTTTAATATCCAAAACTCTCATAAAATGCCTAAAAAGCATCAGATTCCATCCAGACTTGATACACCTCAATATTTTTCTCATCACAACATCTGTTATAAAGATGGCAGAGATCACATCATTACGTCTGGTATCTCCTCCACAAAGGGTCACAATTTTGAATATTCAAAACGCTTACAAAATGAGAAGTAAGCATCCGATTCTCTTCAAATTTCATAGATCTCAATATTTTTGTTGGCACAAGATCTGGTATGAATAAAGGATATATTGGTCCACTGCTTTTTATACCTCTCAATATATTATAATTTAGAAACCTTTTATATGTGGGCTCTATATACAAATTTTTGTCATCGGCTTTAGTACCCATTACGAACTTAAAATACGAAATTTGAAACAATTCCGTTGAATAATTTCGCTAATAATATCAATATGCCGAAGCTATACGGAGCTATTGGTATATGAGGGCTATACGAAGACGTGGACCTCATAGACAATTTTTCGTCATAGATTCCAGTACCCATTAAGATCTTCAAATACGGAATTTGAAACAATTCCGGTCTATAATGTCGCTAAAATCATCAAAATACCGAGTATTGGGAGGAACGGTTATAAGGGGGCTACACGAATATGTGGACCCTCATAGACAATTTTCCGTCATAGATTATAGTACACATTACGAACATCAAATTCGAAATTTGAAACAATTCTGGTTAATAATGTCGCTAATATCAATAAAATACCGAAAATTGTGAAGAACCGTTATAAGACGGCTATACGGAGACGTTGACCTGCGTACGCAATTTTTTGTTATAGGCTGTAGTATTTATTATTAACTTTATATACGAAATTTGAAACTATTCCAGTGAATAACGTCGGTAATATCATCAAAATGCCCAATATCGGAAGGTACAGTTATATTTGGGGCTATAATAAGACCCCAAATATAAGGTACAGTAGTACCCATTACGAACTTTAAAAACGAAATTTAAAACAATTTTGGTAAAAAATGTCAAAAAAATATCTGGAGGTACGATTATATTTGGCCCACGCAATTTTTTGTTATAGACTGTAGTACCTACTAGGAACTTCAAATACAAAATTTGAAACAATTCCGATAAAAAATTTCGTAAAAATCATCATTATGCTGAACAACATGATGTATCGATATATTGGTTATTATTATTATTATTGAGTTATTTCTACTTCTACAAAGAAGACCTTTAGCAGACCTCTGAAATCTAAGACTCCCATCCCTGACATTGTCTCACAATAAAGGTAAGCACATGGTAAAATAAACTATTTTATTTGCAATGTTATTTGGCATTTCTCTCAACTACTCTCACATGGATAAGAGAGAATATGCCCAAGTTACTCATTCATACTCATCATCGCTCTCCGAGGGAGCTCTCTGAACAAAAGAGTAAATAATTTCTAACTAGAAAAAATCTCCAAGTTTCGAACATGCCTCTCTCTCTATGTTTCTCTTCTCGTATTCGAATTGTCAAATTGTGTGTGTGTGTATGTCTGTGACACTTGTGTGTGACATTCGTGACACACAAATCAATTATTACGTGAATTTTTTCCTTTAGCCGCACAAATAGAGTAGTCGTCGAAACGGCAAATTCAGTCAAGGAAGCCGTGGCAGCAGCACTAGCTCCAGTCACTCCGGCAGTCAGTCAGTAGCCAGGCACAATCGTAACTCGAAGTCCAAGAAAGAAAATTAGAAGAAAAAAATAAATAAACCGAACGAATGCAAATAAAACAAAAAAAAAAAACAACAATCGGTGATACACGCGATAAAGCACGTCTTGCCATCATTAGAACAACGACGACAACAATAACAAAAACAACAAATAATGTAAAATTATGTGGAAAAACACCTAAGAAGACCCACCAGCAGAACTTCCTGGTTCAACGGAAGTTCGGGTAAAAATTCGAAAAAAAAAATAAGAATGCATGAATAAAACAATTCTGGAATGTGATTGCAAAAAAAAACGAAAATGAAAACTTAAAGGGAATTCAGCCAAAATTCGAAAACAACAATAACAAGGTGAAAAAAAATAGTTGTTGTAATGTGAAAAACACCAGCATCAGTTGAGCGAACAAACAAGTGATATAAAAATTGGAACACATTTCGGTGTTTGTCCAGTCCACTGCAGCTGATGAGCCATTCGGGGTTACAAGGTTGGTGTTCGAAGTGTAACAGAAACGGAAATAATGTAAACCGAAAGAAATCCGAAAATCCGGCATATTTTTTTTATTTTTGCACTTGTGCTTTGTGAATTCGAAATTATTGTTGTGTGATGAATGGATGATAGCCTTCAAAAGGGAAATTGTGAAAATGGGCTACTCTACTACAGGCATACATGTGTGTGTGTGGGTGTGTATGAGTGTGTTGGACCTCGTTGTGACATCAAAAAAGTTTATCAGTGTTATATTTTAATCGGAATTGAAATAACTTAAATTCTCAAGATTTTCAAGTGAATTTTCGAGTTATTTGAGAAAGTGGTGTGAGGGAAGATGCTACAGAGAACAGAATTTAAAAACTGTGGCAGAAACATTCAAAAAATACCGAAAATCTGGTAGTACCGTTATATGGAGGCTATACCATTTAGTGGACCTGCAGCGTAAATTTTTTGCAAGGAGAGAACGGACCTACCGTCTTTCCCAATTGTTTCAATGTAGCGAATATTTTTCAAAGAGAAGGAACAGGCCTATCGAGAAACCCAAATGCGAAGTTTCATTTAATTTGATGGGAAATTATTGCAAAAAGCTTCCAAATACCGAAAATCGAGAGGGGCCATACTAATTAGTGTACCTGTATCGAATATCTTTAGCAGAGAAAGAGCACACCTACCGGGATCCCCAATTGTCAAGTTTCAGCTTATTTTGTTGGGAATTGTGGCGGAAACCTTCCAAATAAATAAAATCGGGAGGTAGCGTTATATGGGGGATATACCAATTTGTGGACCTTTAGCGTATATTTTTTGCAGGGAGAGAATAGACCCAGCAAGAGCCTCAAATATGAAGTTTAATTTAATTTGTTTGAAAATTGTGTCAGAACTCTACAAAATACCGAAAATCGGGAGGTAGAGTTATATGGGGGCTATACCAATTAGTGGACAAGTGGAGGGGAGAGAACATACCTTTTAATGACCCTAAATGTCATGTTTCGGATGATTTCGTTGGGAATAGTGGGAAATATCCTGGAAATAGCGAAAATCGGGAGGGTTATGTGTGGGCCATATGAATTAGTGGACCTTAGCGAATATTTTTTGCAGGGACAGAACTGACCTACCGAGAACTCCAAATGCCAAGTTTCAACTAATTTGGTTGGAAATTCTGGCATAAACCTTCCAATTATCAAAAATCGGGAGCTATCGTTATATGGGGCTTAAACCAATTAGTGGGTCTGTAGCCTATATTTTTTGCAGGGAGAGATCATAACATTCAAGAACCCTAAATGCCAAGTTTCTGATGATTTGGTTGGAAATTGTATCAGAAACCCTCCTAACAGCAAAAATCGGGAAGTACCGTCATATGGGATCTATACCAATTAGTGGACCTGTAGCAAATATTTTTTTACAAAGAGAAAACAGACCTTTCGAGAACCCCAAATGTCAAGTTTGTGATGATTTGGTTGGAAATTGTGGCAGAACTCTTCAAAATACCGAAAATTGCGAGGTACCATTATATGGGGGCTATACCAATTAGTGGACCTGTAGCAAATATTTTTTGCAAGGAGAAAACAGACCTTTCGAGAACCCCAAATCCCAAGTAGCGAAAATCGGAGGGTTATATGGGGGCTATATGAATTAGTGAACATGTAGCGTATATTTTTGCATCATTTCAACTGTCCTGGATTTTAGATTTTTTTTTAATAATTTCATTAGACCTGGATTTTTAAAATTTTTTTTTTCATAATTTCAATAGACGTTGATTTTTTGGAAATATTTTTTAATGATTTTATTGACGTGGACTTAAAAAAAATATTTTTTTTATGATTTTATTGACGTGGACTTAAAAAAATATTTTTAACTATAAATATCAATAGACGCGGATTTAAAAAAATTATTTTTTATTATATCAATAGACGTGGATTTTTTTTAAAAATACTTTTTCATGATTTTATAGATGTGGATTTTTTTAAAAATATTTTTTTCACTATTTGATTAGACGTGAGTTTTTTAAAAATATTTTTTCATCATTTCAAAAGACTTGGATTTTTTAGAAATATTTTTTCATGATTTTATAGATGGGTATTTTTTAAAAAATATTTTTCATCATTTCAATATTCCTGGATTTTTTAAAAAAATATAGCATAATTTCAATGTTCGTGGAGTTTTTAGAAAATATTTTTTCATCACATCAATTGTCATTGATTTTTTTATAAAATAAATTTACATAATTTCAATGTTTGTGGAATTTTTAACAAATATTTTTTCATCATTTCAATAGACGTGGATTTTTTAAAAAATATTTTTCATCATTTCAATTGACGTGGATTTTTCTAAAAATTATTTTTCATCATTTCAATAGACGTGGATTTTTCTAAAAATTATTTTTCATCATTTCAATAGACGTGGATTTTTCTAAAAATTATTTTTCATCATTTCAATAGACGTGGATTATTCTAAAAATTATTTTTCATCATTTCAATAGACGTGGATTTTTCTAAAAAATTATTTTTCATTATTTCAATAGACCTCGATTATTCTAAAAATTATTTTTCATCATTTCAATAGACGTGGATTTTTTTTACAAATATTTTTTTCACGATTTTAATAGACTAGATTTTTTTACAAATATTTTTCACGATTTCAATAGACGTGGATTTAAAAAAAAATATATGATTTTCACGATTTCAATAGACGAGGATTAAAAAAATATATATTTTTTTTCACCATTTCACAAAGGGAACGTTCCGAAATTGTTTACTTCTTTTCACTTTTTCTCTCAGAATTATATTTAGTTGGAATACCGAATCAAGGGACATTTACAATATTTCCAAAGGCTTGCTTTGTTAAGTAGCACCAGGCATTAAAATGGCCCAGTGTAAACGCAAACCCCCTTAAAGAAATTTCCAACTGGCGTATTTTCCTATTTCTCCAGCTGAAAAAAACAAATTCAATATTTCTTTTTTAAATTATTGATTATTCTATTAATAATTAAATTTCAATTTCCCTTACCCTCTCCCCCTACCTGGATCCAAAAGCTTACTTTTAAATATCAAATAAGGGCCATATGTGAGAGTGTATGAGTGTGTGTGTGAGTGTGTCTGGTTGTTTTAAAGAAGAACGAAAAATTAGTTTTCTTTTTGTTATAAATTTGCTTGTCTTCTTTGGAAAATTTAATGCATGTTAGCCAGATATGCTGACACGCAATTCGGTTGATAGGTCAAAGTGTCAACAGCACACACATACACACACTCACAAAGTAGAAAGCAAATGCAGGAGAAACGGAACGAAACGTGAAGGCTTTAAAAGCCCAAATTAATTAAATGGTAGACACCCCCCATAATACCAAACACCTTCCCCTTATTGTAAGGTAGACGAGTGTCTACCTCTATGAGTGGCTGAAAGGCTGGTTGGTTGTACTGTCTACAAATGCCTCCCTCACACCATACGTAGCCAGACACTTAGGCAACAACAAATAACCTGACTAAATAGTCAGGTTATTTCATCCATTACCTTCATTCATTCGTCCAACCATCCATTGCCTCATTTCTTTTTTTCTCTTCTCCTGCACTTTGTGGCCAAACATTTAATCAATGAAATCAGCCATGGTTCTGCCATTAGTTTTGGAAATCAGGCCTAAGCTTTTAAGAGGTTTTTTTGTTGTTGATAGCTTCTTTTTTATGGCCCAAAGATGGCTATTCGTTGGAAAATGGGAAAACAATTTAATGGAGTAGATTATCAAAAAGGATTTCATTTCAATCAACCCCAAACCATTCATGCACTTTAAGTGGAGATGAAACACCTTTTAAATACCGGAAATAAAAATCGATTGTCAATGTGGTGGAAAGCCAAAAAACACCCAAACCACTACAAGTACCCACACTCGTAGTGGGTGGGTTGGGTGTTTAATGGGAGCTCTCTCTCTCTCTCTCTCTGTCTCTCCATCGTGTGGTTTCTCTATAAAATATTGTGGTCTGTTATACGGTGGTCAGTCGTCATTCTACCAAACCAACAACAACACTTTTTTTTTTATCGAAGGGTGACTGACTGCCTGCCCAACTTCCGAGATTATATGGCCTGTTTTTTCGAGGTTTGCCTATTTTTAAAGACAGCTGGTCACCAGCCAGCCAGCCAGTCAGTCACCCGAAAATGCGGTCAAATTGCAATGTAGAATATTCTCTTTCATGGAAAGTGGATTTTTGTTTTTGCTCTTCCTCAATGGTTTTCCATTACCTCTCGTTCTCGTAATGGATATGCATTGATGGGATTCAGCTCAGCTGGCATGGCATTATCTTAAGCGTTTTGGGCATTTACAATTGATTTTCCAAAGATAGAGGAGATCCATTAAGAAAAGGAAAAGGGTCATTTGAAGTGGTGCAAATTTTTGCCGAAAGATTCGTGAAAAACATGCTATTTTAAATAGAAAATTTGGTGAAATCTTTATGGGTTCTTAAAGGTCATTGAAAGGTTAGGACATGGAATGCAACCGGAAATTTGAATAACAAAAATGAAATTAAAAAAATTTAATGAAAAGAGACCCCGGAAAAATTATTGCAAAAATTGGAAATATTACAATTATATACCCAAATTGCTACTGAGATTTAAGGATTATATAATATACATGCAGATTTCTTATGTTCAGAAACCCATAGTGAAATCTGATGGAGAACATTTTTTACTTTATGACCTTTCTTCTAAAACGTCATCTAGAGGGCGATATTGGCGTAATTTGCAAGCAATACGAAATCTACCATAAAAAATATACTTTTTCACATATATCATTATTACATCCGATATATCTCCAGAATATAAACTATATACAGATTCCCATTGTTTGAGAACCCCTAGTGAAAATTGATAAAGAACATATTTTCCTTTAGGATCAGGTTTCTAGAATGACTACTTCAGGGAGATTTTGGAACGAAGTAGAAAATATATCACAAAAATGTACTTTTTCAAATATATCATTATTACATCCGATATATCTCCAGAATATAAACTATATAC